ACACACACTTTATGCATGGCAGAGAAGAAGGACGTGGTGGTGGTTGTCTTATCTTTGTTAGCAACAAATTCCACGCTGTAGAAGTTGATGATTTTGGGTTGCCCACGGACAGACGCAGTATGGGTTGCACTCAACACTAACTTAAATACAAGACTTTTACTGGGATGTATATACCGCCCTCCCAATTCTGATACTAAAATAACGAGCCGTTTGTGTGAAGTTTTCGAACACGTCTCCTCTCTAAATTTTGACCACAAAATAATAGCTGGCGACTTTAACATGCATGCTATCCAGTGGAATAGGCTAAATGTTCCTAAATACACTGATCGTTTTATAAATTCTGTTGAATTCTATGGATGGACACAAAATGTGAGTCACCCCACACGTAAATCCAACATCATGGAACTAATCCTCACACACAACATCCTTCCCGTCAGGACTCGAGTTGGGCCTTAATTCCCTGGTAGCGACCACAACACGATCATTTCCACCTTTAACTTGGCAGCAAATGGGTCAGGCAAAGGCAGTCGTCGGACAGTAAAAGTCAGAAACTTTTCAAAGGCTAAGTGGGAAACAACGCGGTCTTTTATTCGTTGCCAAGACCGGGATACCTTTGTCTCCTCCGTAGACATTGATACTGTCCTTGACAGTTTCTACTCCAACATATCAGTTTGCTTCAACGAATCTATTTCTTGGTATACATCCAAACGCAACCGTGTAAATCAACTATATATACCGAATGCTACCAGGAACAAGCTAAGAAGACTCCGTAAAACCTATAATAAATTTATGGACTTCTCCTCGCTAATTAGCATCCTAAAGGTATATGATAAAATCAGATCAGATAATGCCAGTAAAATTTACAAAGAAGAACTTGTCGCCCTTAAAAGTAGCTGCAAAATGAGCTCTCTATGTAAACTCTTCTAAAAAAGACTGCAACGAAAACAGGGTAACATTCCTTACATTTTTCATAATAATGTTGCAGTTAAGGATGATGCAGGCATAGCTGAACTCTTCAACAAGCACTTTTCTGACTCATACACGCACGATATTTCCGCATGCATTGAATTTGACTGCGTAACAGAAAAAACACTGTCAAATACATACTTGACTGTTGATGTCATAAAAACTGCAATCAGTTCATTGAAATTCTCCAGTACTCCTGGACCTGGCTCTATTCCCTCATCCTTCTTAAAAAGTGGTGGCTCTGATCTCCCTCTCCTTTTGCTTAAGATATTCTCAACGTCCCTTGTGAATGGAGTTTATCCTTCCAAATGGAAGCAGACATATATTATTCCTAGATTTAAATCGGCTCAAAATATGACGTAAAGAATTACAGGCTGATCAATATAACGTCTGTCTTGTCAAGGATACTTGAGAAGATAATCAGTACCAAAATCACTGACTTCTTATTGACTGAAAACCTCATAACACCTTCTCAGCATGGCTTTATAAAGTCCAGGTCATGTATAACTTGGCACTTAGAACTATTCGATTTTACAACTGGACTTACAGACCAGAAATTCATTGTGCTCATTATGTGTATTGATCTTAAGAAGGCCTTCGATAAAGTATGTCATAATTTACTCCTGAAAAAACTTAAGGCTAACGGTATATCTGGCAATTTCTTACAGTGGTGTAATTCATTTGTGTGTGGTCGGTCCCAGTCTGTTAACGACACTTCTTCCAGTACCACTCCTATATCAAGTGGGATGATTCAAGGTAGTGTACTAGGACCTCTCTTCTTTCTTATATACCTAAATGACGTCTATAATGTTATAGAGCACGGCAGACCTTTCTTATATGCTGACGACTTGAAGGTGGTCTGCCACAGTACCACCCAAGAAGTGACAAATCTGTCTCATAAAATCCAATCGGATATTGATAATATTGAGACTTGGTGTAAGTTGTGGATGATGCAGATCAACGTGGAGAAGTGTGGACTGTTATGCCCCGCCCGCTTACGTATCACACCACACATAACTATATACGACAAGCCTATCACTATCTTTCCTTCTGTACTTGACCTCGGGCTTCGTTACTCCGCTGATTTTAAATTCTCTCTCTATGTCACCAACCAAGTTTCTAAAGCCAGAAGATTACTTGGATTTATATTTCATAACTTTCAAACACAAGAATCTAAAATGTTACTTTATAAAACACACATACGGCCCCTCCTTGAGTACTGTCCATTTATCCTAGACAGCACCTCTGTTAAGGACAAACTAAAGATTGAAAGTGTTCAAAGGAGATTTACAAGTAGAATCCTAGGAACAAGTCTGAAAGTTCCCTACAACTATCGTTGCACAACTCTTAAGATCGAACCCCTTTGGTTCAGGCGCCACCGACTTAACCTCATTCTCCTATTTAAAATCCTCAAAGGAATAATATACCTCCCCAATAATAACCTTAACTTTACTTCTTCGACGTATGAACTACGCAGCAACGGGTCTTCTCTAAGTCATATTCTTTGTCGAACGAAATCTCGTTCCAACTTCTTTACAGTCAAATATAGGCAAACATGGAACTTCTTGCCAAGTGAAATCAAAAATAGCACCACAACGATTCACCTATTTAGTTAATAAATATTTCTCTGAAAACAGTCTTGAAACAGTTTGCCACATACTGAAAATTCGTGATATTGTTTCTTTCCTTTTTGACTTACGTACCTAAACAGCTTTGTTCACTCAAAGCATCAACAGATACGGTCAGTGTTATCGGGCACATTTAAAATAATCAACGTTGCACTAATGCTGTTCTCCGTTCCTTTTTTTAGTTGATTCCATTATTTGTCTAGCAAGTATCATCACAAAAATATGCACAATCCTTTCATACAAATATGGAGTGGAGTACACAGCTTGACATACCACGAAAGCTGCACTGAATCTACATGAACTACCCTCACACCTTATGTCATACCTTTTCAGTCATTCAACTCCATTTAACTACAGCTGCTGGCTGTCAAATTATTCAAATATTATGGTGAATATCCCTGGCAAAACTGTATTTTGGGCGGTTCAGTGTGGTAGAAGTTCTATCTCAAGGTTGAGTAGTAAACAACCTGGATATGGCTGGGACTAAAATCTCCTCTGGTGACTAGCTAATGTTGTGAGTAAATACCATCTACGTCTACGCAAATTCCAGCTCTATGCGGGATCGTCCAAAAATCAGCTTAACTTCACTGTGAGTCATAAATATTAGCGGATTTTATTTTACGGTTCTGTTATTATAATCCTCTGTAGTCGTATTCTTTTGAACCATCTATTATAATTAACTACTGCCTCTTTTTATGCAAAGTTGGTCCCTTGTATCTGTTAATACCAAAATAATGTTGTACTTACCCGCTACTATGGAGTTTTATAAATTTTTGAACATTTATTAATTGACAAAGTGATAATGATCACAAAGCCTGTATCCTGTATGTTTTACTCTAGCACATGTTTATCACCTCTCTTCTTACCTTCCATTAACGCAACATTTCGTAATTCCCGCATGGATCTGACTGACTATAAGTATATTGTAGACTATAAATTAGACTTGAAGGCTGGACTTATCCGGCATGTTGGTTGAAATTTCGCTCGGCAAATTTGTTTTATCAATAGTTTTTAATAAAATTTTGTTGTATGTTTTCTGGATTGATAGGAATTCTCATTTCCTGGCTAGTTATGTTGGTGTCTGCGTCATTTAATCTGACTGCGACACACTTAGCATATTGGTTGTAATGATTAGTATTTCATGCTGAATGCGTCAAAACATCTCTACAATGAAGAAGATGGGGTAGTTGGGGGGTAATGTCATCTACACAAATAGTTTATTTCTTGTAGAAGCTGCAGCTTTCGACATAGTGTCATTCAATGAACACTACGTCAAAATGTGGCTATTTTCGTGTGAACAACAGTACTATTTTACAAAAGAATGCTATCAGTACATGGGAATCACCTATAAATGCCAACAGAACATAAAGCCAATGTGTAAACGAACGGCTATGGAACTGCGATCCAACATAACCGACTAACATGGACGAAAATGACCTTTGAGCGTCTCACTCCATCAATGACCTTGAGCATGCGGGATAATTTCAGCCGACTTGAACCAATATATTGTAATCTGTTCTAACAAAGTTTCTAGAGGTTTTTTTCCATCTTTCCAATTTTTAATGTCAAAAAAGTGTTCCATTTCAAGTTGCACTTGTCGAATATGATCATGCCTGTACAAACGGTATGTTAATCATGTAAATGCTTAATTTATGTGAAATATATATATATTTTAATGGTATTTGATACAATGTTCTACATAGGCCGCAGTAAACTAATGACATTCAGCCTGTATAAAACTTTGTGTTTTATTTGGGAATTTTCTACTGGGTTGAAATTCATTTATGGGAGCAAATGGTGTCTTCTCTGATGGTAAACGTGTCCACTTGAAGTCTGCCACCCCTACAATTCTTTTCCGTAAGCCGCGGTTAAAGAACATTTGGAGGTAGCGAAGGCTGGATAGTCATGCAGTAAAGCACACAGACTATCCTCTCGAACCGAGATGTAAATCTCAAATACCGTACTCCATCAGTGAGTCCCGGCTTAAATTGTGCTTGGTTCTGCATAACCTTTCTTGTCTCACTCCTCTGCCTACTATGCTGATTTATTCACATGCTTTTTACTTATTTTTAATTATCTATCAATTTTTCTTTTTAAATTGACATGTATGCTACTCCTTATACCATCATTATGCTGCTTTTTGACCATGCCCTGCCAAAGGACTGGCTCGGATCACAGTAGCTCTATGATCTTGAGACACTCCATACTACTACTACAAACCAAACATGACAACTCTTACCAACACTCAAGCTACGACATGCGAATGTGGACAGAAACTGCGCAGAAGAATACTGAAGATCAAGGACTGTTACCTGAATATCAAGATGCAAGCTAGAGAAATCAACCTAGTACTTACTAAATCGTGAAAACGGTACTAGATGTTAGAATCTGCATCTATTGAATATTGAAAGGGTGGTGTTTTGAAACTCAGTATTATATCCTGCGCAATGGTGCTTTTTGAGGAGTTAAAAAATGAAATACCTTCAAGAAAAGCTCAATTTTGCCGGGGAGATGTTTACATAGATCGATTTTATGACATAAAAGCTGTTAGTTTCACTTAAAATTAGATGAATAAAATATTTTAGGCAGGTCCGGTTTCACACTGTGATAAATACACAATGAAACACTGCTTACAACATCTTAAAGGGGTAAATTAATTATTTATTTTTATTGTTTCGACAGAGAGCAACGCCAGAATTAACCAAAAGAATAGACAGATGGACGAATCCCGGTGTAGAGGAGCGTAGATTATTTCATGCTCTTGTGAATGATCCTGAAATGGAAACAGCTAAACTCATGAAGCATGGAGTGGTGAGCAAAGACAGGTTTGTATCAGACGGGAGATATGTGAACATTTTATTGGAGTTGGACTTGAAAATTAAGAGCCATCACACTTAGAGGACTTCTTTTTTAATTTATTTATTTCGAGTTTATTTGATCTTCTCCTATAGAATGCCCGCTACATTATTATATAGATGCATACATTGATTGAGATAGTAAACGTCGTATTACAGTCACCTGCATCTACTTCTCTGTGCGAATGTGGACTCGGTGTACGCAGATTTTCGGCAAAGTCTATAAAACGCCTTATTATTTTCGAGGTATCACTGGATAGCTTCTGTATGCCTTTATAGGGTAATTATTATCGTCTCATAGCAAATTTTAACGTTTGCTACTTTCTGCTGAATGACTGGATTGTAAGCTACATTTTCGTCATTACGTCTTGAAATTTGCTTGATCTTAAAAGTCTTCAGTTAGACCCGTATTTAGTTCCAATTGTGATGTAATCGACTTTATATTGCATAGATTAAGTTTAACTATTGTCACTTGTAACAATGAAGTCATGCACTTGAATAAGTTTACCCTGGTCAATTGAATGAAATTCTGGCATACTATTTGTTTTCAAATATTGATTTGTTAAGCAATAGTAAAGCCTTTTTCGATCATTATAGTAAAATAAGTAGAGACCTGAAGACGTTGACTTTCAAAGATACTTGTCCGTTGAAATATGCGGGTCGACTTACAGAATACTCCTTAAGAGTTGTACAACATTACTAACTAATACTGATGACGAAATTTCAGACTTTTTCCAATTATTCCTGTAACTAAATTGTTCATATGTTGTCCGGTTAACTATAGGGATTAAACTAAGAAAGAAGAACTTCATTGAAAGCGACCACCTTGTGCATAATGATACCCTTTCATCAAACATCTTTGGTTTTATCTAAAATAGTGTGTGTGTGTGTGCGAACACGTCGGCAATTTCACCCCCTATCGTTGCATCATTAATCAGAGTAGAGAAGGGTTAAGTTAAGGAACAACGTTTATTTTATATCTCCCAGGGTAAATAATATAGTTTTATATGCAAGTGACGAGTAAATGATAACTAATATAGATAGCTATTTAGTTTCAAGTATTGATTGGTATCCGTCCTTAAGGCACTTAATATGTTTGATGAACCTGGTGGAACCATACCCCTTTTTTCGACATGAAATGTGAGTATTTTTTCCTGTGATTTAAGCCCCTTTCACATGGTATACAGTTTCTAACCTTATCACTAGGTTATTTAGTCCTCATACTTGTGTATATTGCAATACGACCTTACCGCTTTAAAGTACAAGCGCAATAATTATGATCAGGGGTTGTAAAAGCCATAAAGTGATCAGTGGAAGTCTATGAAAGCAAGAGTATAACCCTATATACAGTATAAGCAGATACGTTGTGTAACATTTGAGGTCTCAGACATGAGCCTGTTTATATGGAAAATGCTTCAGTGTACATTGGCTGGTTACAAACAAATAACGTGAGTCTAGTCCTAGGTGTTGTGGAAGACTGAATTATGTCAATCACATTCGCAGTGTGATCCCAAAGCTAAGTGGTTTGCTACCGCAGGGAACTGCAACTGGCGATTGCCTTCAACCGCTTAACGTCATTTCAGAGTGTGCTGAGGTAGCGACTTATCTAAACTGGTGACCACCGTGCGAATTTCGCTGATAGAACTTATCATACATTTATTCCCACAACACTAAGAACTAGACATATGACGTTTCTTACTGATTGAAGTGACCAGTTAGTGTGCTCATTGGTCTTCTATAACACGTCAGTCGTCAGCCGGAGTAACTCAGTGGTATTATCTCTGACTGCAGTACTGGATGACTTAGGTTCGAGTCTTGGAGGAGATAAGATAACGTCGGCTCACTGCATCCTAATAGATACTTCTAGTCCTGCAAGGTCTATTACACTTATTTTGTATAACTCAGCTACTTTGACATTCTCTGTGTTTTTTAAGTCATTGTTCATTAACTTACTTTTCATCAACATTACTGTGTTTTATGGGACCTGAGTTCTCAATAATTTATAGAATTAAAATAGTTTATATTATTTGTCATTTGTTTCAGTAGCTGTGTGATCTCTTCTGCATGCCTGACTGACTCGTCAACGTAGAACTTTGTATATAAGTGTTTAGTCAGCCTTTCTAGTGCAGTCGATGGGAGTCTTGTAGTCTTTTGAAAGATCTATTGTCTTATCAGTTCACTTGAGCAATATCTATCACAGGCTAACAAGAAGATTTGAAAACCCTTAAATCATTAGTATCCTTTAGCTAGATCTAATTAGTCTGACTAAATTTCGGTATGGTGACCCTAATCCCTTTACTTTTTTAATCGTCACTTTGGTTTATAGATGGGCAGTTTGTCCTACTTGGTAGTCGTTATCTCGATGCACCTTCATCCCAAGTGAGTGAAAATTTTCCCAATGAGACTGGAATTAAGCACCAGTCGGCTCACACTCCAACAATCGTCGTCCATTTCAATCTAATGCAATAAAAGACGCAGTTGAATATGATCCTACCGAATTGAAACAGTTTCTTGGAGTAAATCAGAGAAATATTCACAATTTCTGTTGACTAGACAGTAAAATCAATTGGATAAAAAATAGTTTTCTTTTCGCGCATTCGTTTTTCTGTTCGTTTTACTGCAGTGCAAAGCTCAAGTGTTTTTGGGCAAGGCTTTAACAGTCAGCACCACACTAAAGACTAGACATATGGCAGTGGGGATGTCTGTGGCTGTAACACTGGTTAAGATGAGTCTGAGTTTTCAATGGAACATCATATCTCAGGTTTCATATATGCTTTACTGTCGTGTACTGATACACACGAAATCTAGTTCTAGGGCCTTCTGTCATTTTTATCCAACCACCCTACACCAGGACAAGCGGAACCATATTGGCAGGTAACTAGTTGATCCTGCCAGTAGTCTTTTGCTTTTCTCAGAGATTAAGCCATACATGTCTAAGTACATACCTTAAAACGGTGAAACCGCGAATGACTCATTAAATCAGCCATGGTTCCTGAGGACGTAAATGCAGCCATTGCTAACATCAATCTGTTGCGCAGATTGTAAACTTGAATTGTAGACTTCAGTCAACATCGAGCCTATGAAATTGGTTACTCACTCGTGACCAGTTGATTCACTTTTGATTTCATTTAAGATATTTTTTTCAGTGATACTACTGATATAACAATTCATACGGTCCAAGCTAAATTTGACTACTATCATATCATAATCAAATTAACATTCTCTGTGGGTTAGAGGATTATGTTTTGGTTAGTCCAAAGACTGACAACAGGAAATTCTAGGTTTCCGTAAATACCTTAGGAAACAGTCACAGCTTATTAGTCTATAGATGACGACCCGGTGACGTTTGAAACTATAGGTTTCAGGTTCGAGTCTCATCAAGAACACTACTACTTACTGGTATGAAGACATTCAACAAGTAAAGAGGTCACCTAGGATGAAACTTGCATCCCTGACCTAAGTGACAGTCGCCACGTTTCCAGTAATCTGAATTTTACAACAACATTTTTCGGATATTCATTTCACTTAACAGATAACATGACCTTTTGATTTCGAAAGTTTTACAGAAAACATCGCTTTCTTTTGTTCACTCTATTTCTTTTGTAGAACACAAATCAAAGATGTTATAAGACCACCTGAACCCACTGTATTAGGCGAGATGTTAACAAAAGTTCGCGAAGAAATATACGAATCAGTAAAGAAACGACCACTTGGCCAAACACCAGCCCCGAACTTACCATCACATATTGATAAATATAAAACAACATTTGGCATTAAATATGATGCAGGTGAAGTGACTGTTTTCATTCATAACAGTAATAATAGCAATGATCGTTGATGAGATTAGTGTGTGTGTATGAGACTTGGGTATTAGTGAGAATGCGTCATTCCATATTAGTTTGTTTATTGGGCATATCATCACATAGTGAAACGGTATTATTATTTACATTTTCAACTTTCCTGTTCTCTGCCACCACCCGATTTAATTTCCATACTTTATTCCCACTGTTACTGACTTAACCAACTCTCAATTTCTAGTCATTTATGTTACGTCATCCAATTTGTTTGTTTAATGTTAGTTCTGATTTAAATGGCATTATTCTCTACCTCATATCTACTTAGCTTCTACCTATAATATTGTTTTGATATTTTATCAAACACGCTGGGATTAATTTAAATAATTTATTATGTATTAACGGTTAAGTGACTAAAGCGATATTCTACCGTCTGAACCTTGAAGTTTGGGTGCTGACTAGATTTGGATTTCTTTCCAGTTATTTTAGGTTATGTGTAGTCTCCTTCCGGATCTAATCATGCGTCGGTAGCACGGCGGTTAGGACTCTCACCGACCATGCACATGGTCCGGCGTTCGATCTGCGGCTGACGCACACCTGATATCAATGATTGGCCTACAAAATTTGGGCTACCGATATCAAATGCTGAAAATTCCATATTTGTGCCGAAAATACGGTGCGGAATTAAGCTATAATAAAAAAATTACCTATGTTGCTATCCTGACCTAAGCTGAAACATTTTGGTGAATTATATTAAGTCATCTAACCTACTCACCCAATCTTACTTCAGTTGCTGTCTAATTAATCTTGTTTCTATATTAGATCATTCTTGTATTGCCTAATTAATTATCTAAACTTGAAAAACCTCAAGTACACACACACACAAAATAATTGTATATTAATGCGATTGTACAGCTATGTGAATGAATTCGCCGCTGAAAAGAGTCTCCCTGCTGAACGCCTTCTCTTCTCATATTATTTACTGGGTGATGAAGCTTCCAACACAGTTCGCTGTTCATAATCATATCATCAACTGTGAATACAAAGCTTCGGAACTTGATTTTTAATAGCTGTCGTTATTCCTTCTCATTTGTTAAAAAGGTAGTAGAATTTTCCAGATGTCCTGATGGATAGGTGTTGAATCGTTTTTATTGCATATATTCTCACAATTGATTCGAAATATACAGCTTGAGCTATCAATCTCTCCCTCCCCCCTGTTGTATTGGATTTTAAGGCTGTTATCTTATGACATCTTATTGTACGGTTGTGTGCAATTGCATGTAGTGCTATAGCTGAGGTGTCCTCCAGATTTCATATCTTATTACGGCTAACTAGTCTAGATTTTGCTAGGCTTTCGTGTTCCACCACTCGACTTCGTTCTGTAATTATAATTCAAATAATTATGAACAATAAATTATATTCGTAAGGTTATCCAGTAAATAAAAGTGATATTTTTTGACGGGTTGATCACGGATTGATATCACTTAGAGAACCATTGATAACAATCCGTGATCAACTCGTCAAAAAAATCTAATCCTTACAAACCAACTATTGAAAAGTAATATTGTTTCACCGTATGCAAGATATATCAAATCAACGAATTAATATGTTGCTGAGACTGCCTGATTTGACCTTCGATTAATGGAATGATAATGAATAATGAATATCTGAGTCACAGCGGTCTTCGAACTATTAACAGAGGACATAAGATTGATTTCGACAATGTCGAAATTCTAGGAAGAGGCTTTCATTCAACACATAAAGAAAGGTTGACATCTGAAGCCTTGCATATTTTAACCACATCGAATGCAGTAAATAATAGGAGAGAAGGGATAAACTTATCACCTATATGGCAAACTCTAATGAAGTAAAACAGATGGGAAAACAATAGAAAACCTTTATGAATGTCCATGACCTTTAAATAAAAAGTGTATTATCATGTTTATCACATGTGAATTGACGTCTTTTCCATATGACAAATAACATACACTCACATACACTCATACAGACAAATATACACAATAACAGTTTGACACTAGTCATTACAAATATATGATAACTGCTTACATATTTCCTATTGTCACAAATGTCTATCGACAAGTGACCTTCAAATAAACTGACTTCAATTTGTGTAAAAATTTTTTGACTATATATTTTGGTGATTAATAAAATCGGAATAATTCTGCTGAAGAAGCTGTAACTTTCACAGCGAGACGTTCAGAAAAATCTTGTTTCGATTTTTCCTAAATACGTTGGGATAAGTTTAAATATTAGGTGGTTGGAAGCAATCAGCAGGAAGCCTTGGAACTAGGTTTCGTGCTAGTTGGTACTCACCAGTCAGCAAGGCGTATCTGCAACACTGAAGGAACTTATGTCCGTTCTGGGATTCGAACCCACGTCACCCAGTGCCGCCTGCTGTCAGTGACGTTACCACTAAGCAAGCTATTCGGGATCGCGATTGATCTCCTGTAGGACTGTAGTGGATACTTTGATTGGGCACTAGTAACTAGTGTGATGTGTCTAGTCCTTTCTCTGGTGCAGACTGAATTCTATCAGTCAGGTTTGCAATGTGACGCTGGTTCGAATCTCAGAAGGGACATTAGTTCCTACAGTGTTGGAGATACGCCTTGGTGACTGGTGAGTGCCAACTAGCATGAAACCTAGGTCCAAGGCTTTCTGCTGATTGCCTCCAACCATCTAATATCATCAAAAACTTCATACATCAGATGATTCAGTTAAAATAATAAAGTAACAATAGAAATACTTTTCTGAATCATACAACATTTTTTTATGACTGTCTTTAATGTTCCAATATTTCTATGGCAGAAGCACATTCTCATCACGGATTGATATCAGTTAGAGAATCATTGAAAACCACCAGGGAGTATTGGACAGCTGTTTCGTCTTAGTTTGGAACTCACTCCCAGTATGAAGCCCTCAAGGGTTCATACCGAGGACCTTCTAGTTACAAGGGAAGCTCGTAGACTATTCAGCCACTGGGAACTGACTCAGTGACTCGTTTATGCATTCTAACTTCTACTAATTCGGGATTTTAACGCCACCGGCAGGCAGTGTCATCGGTGAGTATTTATCCTCACTCCCAACCGGGCCAATGAGAGTGGAGTCCCAGTGGCTGAATAGTCTACGAGCTTTCCTTGTTACCGGAAGATCCTGGGCATGAACTCTGGTGGTTTCGTACTGCTTAAGAGTCCCAAACTATGAAGAAACAGCTATCCAGTACTCCATGGTGGTTTTCAATGATTCTCTAACTGATATCAATCCGCGTTCAAACTTGAGACCAGCGACATGCCTACAAACAAACTCTTGAGAAATACATCCCCTATGCATCTTTACTTTTCTGAATGAGGTCAACGAACTTATCTAATTAAACAAATCTACAAAAATGAGGAGTAAACATATTCAACTGTATATAGTGTTATAAAAATTCATTTTTCAACATATTTAAGTAATATGTAGTCGCTACAACAACTATTAATATCATTATTCATTCCCTGAGTTCATATTGAAACACCTTGCTTCCACGGAACATGTATGTTGCTCTTGGTCTTCTTCCATCCCTTCCGACTGAGTGCATGACTGCCCACAAGATTTCATTTCCTCTCCACATGATCTTCTCCATGTCACCCTTGGATGTCCTACTCATCTCTTTCTGTCCGGGTTCCAGTCAACAGTGCTGCGTATGATGTCACTCAGTGGTCTCCCCAACGTATGTTCAGTTCGTCTCTATCTCCTCATGCATATTTGTCAGCCATCAGGTTGGTGGTTGATTTACTGTCAGACGGAGTTTCTTGCCACTTATCTTTCTCGACTGGCTATCTGATCTTCAGTATCGAGCAAAGCAGGGGGGGGGGAAGCGAGTGATGATGAAAGTCTGCAATTACCTTTGGGAAATGCTTCCAGTGACACTCATGCCAAGTATTTGAAGCATACAGAAGAGGTGGCTAACATGACATTACTGATACAAAGTCGTATTTCGTTCTTCCATCTGAGTGCTGTAGATCCATCTCTACACTGATTTATAAAGTACTTAAGATCCAGCTTTTAATCCAACAAACATCACTCAGTTGAGTGAAAATAAGCAATATCTCCTTATTTTGCCCAAGTTGTTTTATCAGATCTTCAATGGGGTAACCTAAAATTACAGCTCACAGTATTTCAAATCAGAGAGATCCGGGTTTTATGTGTTCATTGTTGTCCACACATCGAATTTCTGATCACACACTCCTTTTCCCTCTTTATTCCTTTGAATTTGAAGTAGGCTTCAGACTTCGTTTTTAGGTTTCTGTAACAGTGGCGTTCTTTCCTAGGGGTGGGGTTATTGACTTCACTATCAACCTCCCCTCTTTGTAGGGCTTACAACCGACTAATGGAGTGTGCACCAACTGGGAATCGAACCCCAGACCACATGCATGGTAGGCGAGCATTCTACCGGTGAACCAATGGCACACAATCATACAACTTTACAAATGATTGATTCAACACTAATATATATATATTTCAACACATCATTTCTAGAATTACCTCAGGTAAATTAGTGTTGATATCACACTTTCTCACTGCCAAACTAAGTAGTCGGTGGCACAGTAGTTAGAACTCTCGCCGATCATGCACATGGTCCGGGGTTCGATCCCCTGCCGACGCACATCTGATATCTATGGTCGGCCTGCGAAATTTGGGCTACCGATATCACATGCTGAAAATTCCATACATGTACCGAAAAATACGGTGTGAAATCAAGCTGTAATCAAAAAATAGTTAGTCATTCATACCCTAGAATTCACCAGTTTGCATTCATAATTACGTATAGTCGTATCTTTGTACACAATTGCCACAAGTTGAGCAGTTACCATCAGACATTTTCTCCCTAAACATTTCGCACAAATTATCCAGTATTATTCATTCAAGTAGCGACACACTGTCAAAATTCCAGTTTTAACATATTGAATCATAGTGTCGGTGGCTCATTGGTAGACTGATTGATAATCGTACAAGCGGTCCTGATTCGATTCACTGCCGACATATGCATAAACGACGTATGTAGTACAACGATAGAATACTCGCCTACCACGCCTCATGTGGTCCGGGGTTCGGTCCCCAGCCGCCAACGCAATCCTTTACCTCTCTAAGCCAGTAATAAGACAGGTAAAGAGGGAAGTTTGGGCTGTGCATGAGGTTAGCAACCCCATCCCGTAGAAATAAACACCACTGCTACCGAAACTTCAAGCCTCTAGCTTGAAGGTGCCCTATGTTCCACTGGGAACGTAAAGGAATAAAAAAATACGTCTAAGCTTCGCTTAGCCAACAGTAATCCCTGTAAGGAGGCACGTTGGGTGGTAGGCTGGTAGCCCCATTTGTTAAGAACAACATGGCTGCTTAAAAATTTCGATGCTCAAATCTTGAAGGCTTATGTCCCCACTGGAACTCAAAGGAATAACAAAAAATAACCAATTATATAACATTGTTTGTCACAGAATGTGGTGAAATATAATAATAATTCCCCGTGGCACCTTTTTCCTATTGACTCAAATTTCCCCAGGTGAAAGAATCGGTGATTTGGTGAATCCACCAAGGAAACGTGTTGATATAATCAATGAAGAGTTGGACAATCGTGAACATTATCTTATATCACATAAACATTTATTACCTGGTGAACAAGCGCACAGAAGATATGAAAAGTAAGTCGAATTGTTCACTACTATATTTACATTTCATTGCACACGCACACACTTGACGTTTATGTGAAGTTATTTCGAGAATCTTTAGGAATACGAACATTTCTGTATTGCGTATCTTTGAAACATTATGTTCACCTTGCATGAATAGAAATTGCATTACTACCTTTGAGGTGACTGAAAAATGTCTGTAAAAATACAGAATCCTTCTACATTTTCAATGTAGTTCTCATCTTTAGGGTACATTTCGTCATGAAATGAAATCAGTTAATGCAGAATTGGAAACGCAAGAAAAGTCATCGGTCCTTTCGTTGTGATATTAAGTGTAACATCTATGATTAGTCACTAGGGAGTGTTACATATCACTTGCCTAATTCTCGGTTTCACGGATGGCTGAATTCTAGTTTGCAATGTGGTCAAGAAGCTACATTGTCGGTCGGTTTTCGACATAGAACTTTGCACATATGTGCGGCAGTTCAAGTCGCCACACTCCTCACATGTAGCACACAAAGCAAGAGAAGAAAGTAGAAGAAATGCATAATATAGTCAGTAAACAGAGGTGAGAGGCAAAGGAATAGTAGTAACGAAGAACAATATATTTTGCAATTAAAAGTGTTCTCTGAGCTGGTTGGTTTAGTTGCGAAGCATTGGAAATTATAAGTCACAAGGAGTGGATGCATATGCGCCACTGAGAACGATTTGAGCCATGTCACCAATTGTTTCCAACCATTGGTTTTTACCATCCCGAGGACCCCAACCAGTCAGGAAGTCTACACCTTCCTACGTGGCTTATACTAACTGTTGTGGATTTCATTGACTGGTGCCATGTTTTGGTTTGACCGCCGCTAGCTGTTTTCCAGCCTGACCCTATGTCAGTTAACATTGCACGCCAGTCGAGGAAGGCGATGACCAGGCATACATAACACATGTCCTAACCATCTCAGTCGATGTAATTTCACAGTCTCGTCGACTGATTTCCCCTCCTTACCTAGCACTCAACCGAAGCCTAACCAACTCAATATTGCTCACCTTATTATACCACTTCACGCCGGAGATAGAACGCAGGCACCTATGATCTAAGATAGCTAATCTTTTCATGTCTTCCGCTCTCAATGGCCAGGTCTCACAGCCGTAAAGGAGGACGGAGGGGACTGCTCAGCAGTACACGCGCCCTTTGGTCGATAGTCGGATATCGCGTCTACACCAGAAGAAGCTACATGACCTTTTGCTGGTGGATTCTAAATTCATCTTATATAGTTGGAGGCAGTTAGGTGACCCCATGAACTGGAAAAATAACACCTGCTAGTTTCCAGTTTGAATAGCTCATTGGTCACGTCTGTGAATGCAGCACTGGGTGATGCCGAGGGGGATATCATTCTCTCAAGGTTGTAGACATCCTTTGTCAACGACTGACAATAAACACAAACATCGGTCCAGGGCTTCTTGTCGATTGCCTTCAGTCATCGAACATCAGTTATGATCCAGTACTCAACAACAACCCTTCAGAATTCATTCAGTGAGTCAGTTGGACTTCAATGAATCATAATTTAAAAATTCTGCCAACTTATGGTTCAGTGTCATCATCATCTTATGCCAATGGGTTGGAAGTGTTCTTGCAATAAAATTAATTAACCCTACCTTTTAGCTTATCAAAAAATGTTATTCCAAAGTTTTGTTGATAGATTAGATGTTGTTGAATTTGTGATACTTAGACTGATTTTAAATAATCGTTCATATATTTGGTGAATGGTAACTAGCAATAGTGGAATCCAGGATGCGCACTTTGTCCTTTTTAGGACTCATCATCTGGATGTACTTGCAATCCATAGTGGTTGATTGTATCCTCACCGCATCATTGGAGCGCCCACACTAAGAAGTGACATGTCAGCGGAGACCAAACATTTTGTTATAATAAATAAATATAGGGATTTCATCAAGAGATGACATTGGTTAGAGAACCATTGGAAAACTTCCAGGGAGTACTGAACAGCTGCTGCATCCCAGTTGTTGAAACTCTTCAGGAGTGTGCACCCACCTCCAAGGTTTGAATCCAGGACCTCGCCGAATAAATCGGCTAGCAGTTGTGAATTGGTAGAAGTTGTAATTCACTGCCTGGTCTCTGGATTAGGTCCCAGTGGCTGGACAGTCTATGAAGTCGCCTCGTAACTGGAGGGTCATGAGTTCGAAACCCAGTGGGTGCGTACTGATGAATAGTCCCAAACTAAGATAACTGAAACAGATGTCCAGTACTCCGTGGTAGTTCGCCAATGGTTCTCCAACCAATGTCGGCTCATGATGAAAACAAATTCCTACAAACCAACACTTAAATAAATATCAGTTAATGGAAAATTCTACGTTAACTTAAAGTAACGTTGATACATTACTCATCCCTTAATATCTCTGAAGTAGATTTCCTATAATTCTAATGAAAAGACACGATAGATATTGTCCAGCAGGATAGATGTGATCATAGTTAATCGTGAGAAATCCCTACTTGAACTAATTTTAATTATTGGTAGCATTCAAAAATAACCTTAGAGTTCGAAATCAGCTTACTCAATGCAGAGCTCAAAATGCTTTCAAGTGGCTGAGGGGATTAATAACCCTCTTAGATATGAAAAACAGTTTTCAGATGACAATAAATACAATTGTCTACACTTAGGTTAAAAATCACTTTGTGTTCATATTCGGCATTTGTGGTTGGATTCTACGATTAACTAGCTACAGTATAATTTGCAGCACCCTGTAGAAATAATACTATATATTTTTCTTCAGAACTGTACTTCTACCTGCAGATTTAGTGGGGACAGGAACAGTTGATCACCAGGTTTTATTTGGCACCATGACAAACACAATCTAACTGACTTATATAAAGGTTCTTTTCAAGGTTCTGTGAAGTGTCTAATGTGATATATCAACCATCTGGATTCAGACGCATCCAGTCGACAAGTCTCAGATAAGATGAAGTGCGAATCCTGGACTTCACTACTTGTAAAAATCAACGACTCCTTGGTTATTCATAATGGCTTAGATGTTGATACCGACAAAGTCTTAACCTGTACTTTAGTTATCAGAACATGTTATCTCATCTACTGCATCCATAATACGAATACTTAGAGTTTTAATTGTTTTACGTTGGCGCTGATGATGTCTTGCTGTGAAGGAAATGCCGAGAAAATTTATTGTACTGATCAAGGCACTCACTCTACTCCAACTTATGCAGCCAGCCAAGTGACAGCCTACGTACAGCTGTCATCTGAAGTGGCGACAACTAGTGGTGTCCGTCAGGGATACCATTTCTCTTTAATTTCATCAAAGATGTATTAATGGACTTAACCCTAACTGACTCCAGCGACTCAGGGATCGACTTGTTACCAGGGAATAATCACGTCGACAAAATGCAAAATCTTCTGAACAACCTGAGCAGCAATCTTCAAATGCTTGGCATGCGGTTTGCTACCTCGTCAAATGTAAGATGATGCTACATTTCTAGACTGCATTACTTTGACTCCTAGCTTAAAGATTGGGATTTAAGTGGTAGAGCATGCCAACCATTTCACTTATGTGGGAAGTTACATCAACCAATGCCAGCGGGTTGATGACTGACGAAATCTCAGCACGGATACAGAGGGGTCGTTTGGTATATGATAACTTACGCCATCTCTGGCTTGGGCGTGATACCAAACAGGCTGCCAACCGAAGGAAGTTTGTACTGCTCACCAGTACACTTCGTCCTCCTTCGTGACTGTGAATGAGGCATGGCCATTGAAAGTGGAAGAAATGAAAAGGCTAGCTGTCTTTGATCATAGGTGTCTGTGTTCTACCTCCCATGTTAGATGTTATAATAGGGTGAGCAATATTGAGATGAGGCATCGAGTGTTAGGTAAGGAGAGGAAATCAATTGACGAGGTTGCGAAGTTACACCAATCGAGGCGATGGTTAGGACATGTGTTACTCATGCTAGCCTAGCCATCCCCTTCCTCAACTGGCATTGTTAGCTGACATAGGACGAATTAAGTCGGAAAAGAGTTAGTTAGTGATGGTCAAACCAAAACATGGCTTCATCATTCATTGAAATCCACGACAGTTAGTTGAAACCAGCCACTCACAGAGGTGTATACTTTCAGGCTGGTTGGGTTCCTAGGGATGGTAAAAACCAGTGGGTGGATACAATAGATGAAATGATTCAAAATCGTTCTCGGTGATGCCTACACATCTGTGCAAAGTTCTAGTTTGAAATCAGTCAGCTGAAATCTGGAAAAAGGGGAGACTAGGCTTGGGTCTGATAACGTCATCATGTAAAAATGACAACACCATGTCTACTGAAACACCAAGGTTCCAAGCCTAAAGCCCTACCTTCTACTCGAAGTGCAAAGGAATGAAGCAAAAATAGAAGGAACTGCATATATGATGAATCAGATTCATAATTTGCAAATTAATTTGCAGTTTCGACAGTTCGAGATGAAATTTCCCCTTGGTACCCTGAGATATCGTAAGTGATAATCAAGAAAACAAGCATAATTGCATGAGACTATGTACTACTGATTGGTTGAGATGAGTAGTTGCATACCAATCACATCAAACCAGTAGTACTGCTTGCTAACTAGCCAGACTGAAGCAGCCTAAACACCGGACGGACTTAAATCGTCAACGGTATTGTCGATTTGATCAGTTCAGACCACGCAACAAATACTGGCTAACCATTTGAGCAAATTGGAGATAATCTGGACCACTATTGGTTGATGTGACTGGAATCCAGTCGCTGATATTAATCAATCTGTGTAGTATTTGGCGTCATGCAACTATGGTTTTACTTTCTTGATTACAATTTACTGGATCAATCAGACTGCTCATATTCTTTGGTGATCTGAATAATTTCGATTTCCAAAGAAAACTGTGTGTGTAACGAGATTTAACCTGAACCTCTTCACAGCGGATGGTTTCACCTGATCCAGCTGCCTGAGGTGAGCAAAACTAGGTAAACTGCTTTATGAGCTCAGCCTTAAATGAGTGAAACAGCAGTACGGTGTTTAGATTACTTCAATAACCTGGCTAGCTAGTAGAAATTGCTGGTATCGGTTAGAGAACCATTGGAAAACCTGGGACTCCTCAGCAGTGCGCACTCACCGCATCGGGGTTCGAACCCTGGACCTTCTGGTTACAATGTTAGCGATCTGGTAGACCATTAAGCCCCCGGGACCCGATCCATTCGCCAGCACAAAAATTCTAACCTTTGCCAATTGACGACATGTGTTCGAACTTCGGTGATGGGTGCGTACTGATGAAGAGTCCCAAACTAGGACAACAGAAATTGCTTGCTTTCCAGCACTCTCTGGAGGTTTTCCAATGGTCCCCTAACCAATGTCATGTCATGATGAAATCCTATTACCAATCAATCAAATCTCTATGAACCAATACTTGAATTAGAAGTTAACTGGTGGATAGTGACTAGCACTGGAATCCAGGAAGCACATTTCATCCTAATCGGGATTCGTCAGCTACTGGATGTACCTGCATTCCGTAGTGAGTGATGATATTCCCACCGAGACTCGAACACAGTACTCATAGTTTCAAACACCAAAGCGTTATCCACTAGACCAGTTGGACCACGAGAGCTACAGTCTCTTGTGCAAAGGGGTCATATTAATTATTTAATGGAATTTTTCGATTTTCCCGTCGGTTGATTGGACTGAAGTTCACTTGAAAGCCGACATGTCAACCTGAGACCGAGCACTTCGGTCCAATCAATCGATGGGAAAATCTAAAATTGAATTAAACAATACTTGAATTGCTAGTTGATTTGAGCAGTACACAACCACTCATCTCAATCAATCAATCAACAGTATTATACAGTTTAAAACAACGATACATGTTATTTATTTCAGATTATTTTATACAATACAGAAAAAAAATTATATAACTTTATATTTCTCTTTAATTACACCCTTGTAATCAATGAATACCTTATTAAAGCTTTGATGAGAATCAAGTATTCGGTATACATACCTACTGTGATCCACGTGGAATACATGTACGTCGTGCTATGAATTGGATAACAAATGAAACAAATAAGATACATACACCGATAATGAATCAAATACAATTTGATTTTAAAGAAAAATACGATCATGTTCTAGGCAAAGTGAGAGATCCGTAAGTGGATATACTACTAATTTCGGTATTTTTGTTTTGCTTTCTTTTTTTTGTCTTTCTGGTTTTTAAATAATTAAAAAGGTACCCTGAGTAATAATTAATTCAGATGTTCTCAACAGAATTCTTCTTCAGATTGTACAGTTATAAAAATTTAATCATGTTAAGCGTAAAGTAGTCTATTAAAGGGAATTAAAATTATTGTGGTGATAAGCTTACACTTTAAGAAAAATTGATTCACGTGGAAATTGGAATTTATTTATGATGACTGCAGTAAAATAGTCATCTGCGCAGCAGTTGAGTATCCTAATCAGGTTGGAAAAGCGTTGGGCTAGTTATGTGGAGGTAGCTGGTTTAAATCTGTGCGCGGACTAGACCTTCATCTCAATTTCACGTATTAGGTATTACACTAACAGCAATATGTCGTTATCAGGTTATCTCAGACAGTCAGTCTCTCTTGTAGTTATTAAATAAGTATTTACTAATGTGTGTGTGTTATTATTCCCTTGGGTTCCAAGTGGAACATACGGCTTCAACAACATATATCTACGTTCTTCTGTTCTCCGCTGTCCTCTTCACTTCAGTCCACGATTGCCCAGAATCTCTCATCTCCTGCTCCCTAATACACCATCTCCTCTATGTCATCTTCGGATATAGATCCAACTCCTCGTTTTTCTACTCGAGCGATGGCTTGCATTCAGAGCAATGTTATTCGACGGCCTCCTCAAAGTATGCCCGATCACTCCATTTCTCCCCTGTTGGTTTGTTGCCAGCCAGACTTTCTTGTAGCTAATTCTTTCTAGCCAGCTGACCGACCAGCCATGTGATCTTCAGTATGCGGCCAGCGAACTGGGTAGCTGTTGATTAAAGTCTGCAGTAGCCTATTGGAAATCCTTTTCATGACGGGTGCGCAGTGCAAGTTTCTGACACATATAGAAGAACTAACTGAGTGACTTCGCATTTATGTTGAAAATCCGATTCTTGTTCTTTGTGCTGATGAGTAAAGAAGATTTGCAAACTGGTTTCAGGTTGATGAAGGCGTATCTTGCCTTTCCGATCGTCTCTGAATGGCTTCGACATCTTCATCCATGCTGTCCGACTGCCAGTGGTTGAAACCATGCTTCCTGGCTGGATAAGTGGAAGAAGTAACCCCTGTCAAATCTCTCCCGATGTAGCTATTGTTGGTTGGTTGGTGGGTTGTCTTCATCACCTCCATGTCCACCTTCTCTATTTTCACTTGGAGTCCTGTCTTCGCTGACTGTCTGTCTGCCTGCCTCGTCTCTTCAGCCAGTTTGGTGGCTTTCTCCTGCCTGCAAGTCTTCGAGTTTGTGTGTGTGTCTGTGTGACACTAAACATAAATCGGTCAGTGCAGCGTATTCCTATCTCCTCACTCACTCCCTACACACACAGTCTGACGCATAATCCAGTCCACTACCACAATTATGAATATCATTGTGGGTGATGATAGGCAGGCAGCCAAATTGTCTCACTCCTGTCGTCTTCATTTCGAACATCTCTGTGAGTTTCCCGCTGCTGATCACCTGACACATGGCAGGCATTGTTATATAACCAGCTGCTGAATGAGGTTAACATAGACTTGGGCATTGCACGCTGTAGTGTTGATGCAGTTTTCCAATTACTTCTCTGTCAACTCTCTCTGTCGAAGACCTTTTCGAAGTCTATGAATGAAGTTGAGGTAGAGTTAAAGGTTTGACTGCCATTCTATGCTTTGTTCGAGTGCGTGCTGTATAGACAAATGTTTCTCATAGGATAATGGTAATAACAATAACAGTAATACTCTTTGTTATATAATCTGTTTAATTAATCCAATCAATCAAATAAAACACAGAATTAGAGATACAATGAATGTACCAGATGATCATACATTTGGCATACAGTACAAAGATCATAATCTTACAGCTGGACAATTACTACACGGTCTACTACCAAGAAAGATAGCTGGACTTCCCGTTGAAGAGGATACGTCTGAGAAAACAGATGACAGCAATACGAAAAAGTGTATATATTCTGGTGAAAGATTTAAGTGCATGCTACCAGTTATTCATCATGCTTTAAGAAATGAACGTTATTGGCATGGACCAGAAATTACTGCTGTTCTATGTCAGCTGGCTAATAAGGTAAGTAAATGTTTTGTTATTAGGTTCTTTTCTTTCAAAAATAGCTTCCATTTTGGTAGTGTAGATTTACAAGTATTGACTTGTAGGGATTTTGTTTCAATTGGTTGGAAGATTTCAACTTGACCTGACACTGGTTAGAGAACCACTGGAAAACCTCCAGGGAGTACTGGAGAGCTTGTTGTTTCTGTTGCCCTAGTTTGAGACTCTTCAGCAGTACGCAACTACCCAATGCCAGGGTTCTAACCCAGGACTTTCCAGTTCCAAGACTACCGAGCTCGTAGACCAGTCAACTTCTGCCAATTCATGAAATAGCCTGACCATTTCGCAATGTCTTCTTCGATGCGTAAATGTTCTCACCTTCGACCTTCTGTACCCTACTGGCCACAGCTTCCCACTAGAACCCCAGGTAACTACCTACCTGAATTGGGCTAGTCGCTAGTGAGCAGATTGTTTGATAATGAAAATATGGAGTTAAGCGGAGATATTTTTTTCAGGGAAATTCAGTCACTCATCTGTAAAAACCAATATATATTTTTTATTTGTGTGTAAATTCTGTCTATCAGAATATTTTAAAACACTGAATACTAGTCAGTTTTTAACTGAGGGAATAAGGTTAGTAAGTTTAGTTTTTACGAGTTGATCACGGATTGATATCACAGTTAGAGAACCATTGAAAACCACCATGGAGTGGTGGACAAACAGCTGTTTCATCCTAGTTTGGGAATCATCGGCAGTACCCACCCACCCACCGTCGGAGTTCAAACCCAGGATCTTCCGGTTACAAGCAAGCAAGCTCGTATACCATTCAGCCACTGGGACCCGATTCCTCATTGGCCAATCCATGAATTCTAACTTCTACCAATTCGTGATTTAGCCCGACCCCAGCCAATGTCATCAGTGGGACATCCATCCTCACTCCGGAGTGGATGAACCTCATTGGTCACGACTTCTCAATAGAACTCCAGGAAACTCCGTCTTGTAGCAAGTCACTAGCGAGCATCAGATTAATTTTCTATAGTTGATTTGTAAGGGTTAGTTTTGTTTTTACGAGTTGGTCACGGATTGATATCAGTAAGTTTAGACTAAAGGTTGCATAATATGAAAGACGCTGAGAAAAAATAGGTGTTAGTGAAATAGTATGGAGAAAAGTATCAAAATAAATTACACAACTATTGGAGAGAGTGAATGGAAGGTTAGTTAAGAAAATGATATTATTGAATGTCATACAAAAATTGCAACAAAATTCTATTAGTAGCAAAATATTCAACTTGGAACTTAAACACACATTGAATGACCTACAGGTCTTGCTCCCGAGGAGCCAATGAATTGACTGATACACAAAGTGTTCAATATTCTCTTCTGTATGATGTGGAAAAGAAGGTCATTTCTGAAAGCTGTGTTCATGCATAGAATTTTCTTCAGCACAGAGAAGAAATTTTCTTTGTTAGTTTTTGGGTCGTATTTGCTTATCTGCACAGCGTGGTGGCAATCATCATCATTTAGCGTTTTCTTCAAAGGTAGGATCTTTTCATCTACCCACTCCAGGCTGCAGTTTCGTCAGATTCGAGTCTCAAGGGATACTATCAGGTTTCATTTCCAGTTTATACGTATCCAACTGTTGTTGATTTAATAGTGACTAGTAGTTATCACTGAACTCGGATAGCTCAGTGATAACGTCTCTGAATGCTGGCAGCACTGGGTGACACGGGTTCGAATCTCAGATGGGACACATGAGTTCCCTTAAGATTGCAATTACACCTTGCTGGCAAGTAGCAACTAGCAAGAAAACTAGGTCAGGCAAGGCTTCCTACCGATTGCTTTAAACCAACTAATATCACTAATTCACAGTGTACCGTGATGTTGAGCCACCTAGTAGCATGGTGGCCACATTGCACCAAACAAAGGACTAGACACACACTTTACACTAGTTACTAACTAGGGTCCAGTCAAAAGAAAACAGTTGACAGAACCAGTCAAACATTGATTAGTAATTGTGTTCTAGAATACGTGTTACATAATGTGAAAGTACATGTTAAGAAACAGAAGTTGGTAATAGTGTGAAGAACTGTCTAATCAGTCCGAATGTGTAAAGGGAACAGAAATTAGTGAAAATACTGTTATATCCAAGAAATGGAATCCGTAAGAGAGGTTTAATGTTAATAACGCTAATAATGGCAAAAGAAAACATCGAACAGTGGAATCATGGTAAAGTGAGTGAATGCATATATCGCTTTTGAACACAGATGTCCGGTTCAAGTCAATAATGATTCAGCTGTGTATAAATAGTGTTTTCGAATTCGGAGACCTCTTATTTGATATTCGAGTACTCTATGGATTCTTGTAAATCAATTATACTCCATGTTACTGTTTATGAATAACCATCACATAAATGCCGAAACCTAACGGCCTTTGTACCATTCGGTCTCACCTTGAAGATAATTTTAAAAGACAACTCTTGTTGAGCTGCACGGCTTGAGTTCATCAGGTGCTCGAGAAATGAACTAGTAACTGTCTTGCATTGTTCTCTTGCTAACCATGCCGGATAATATTCAGAGATGTATTTAGAAAGTGTGCAGTTTGGGCAGCCAATATAACTAGTGTGAAATATTCCCATATCACAGGAATTGAAAGTCAATCTGAACGAAGAATATTCTTTTCAATAATTTCTCCTCTTCAGGTTCTTACAATTATAAAGTATAATATTTGATGTCGTTACAATAATGGCCAGTTATGCGGCGGATACATTTTTAACGTAGAATAACAGATTAGTTATGGGGTGTCGAAATAAATAGGCGTATTTGTGTGACAAACGTGCTAGGCTGAAATCGATTACAAAATATTGTAAAATGGGAGACAATGGTGATGATTAATCATAATAGATTCGTAGAATGTGGTGGGGTAGGAAAAACTAACAAGTCAGTTCATGGTTATAGACTATCCGGACTTATTATTAGTGATATTTTCTCTTTTATCAATATATGCCTCCACCTGCTTCATTCACACATTGGTTATTTCATGACGAACCTCTCATTGTAATCTTAATACATACCACTTTGTACTAGTCACTCACCTGACACCTTTTATAACCTTGAACTGACTTGTCAGTTTTTCCTACCCCACTCCTCATTCTACGAATCTATTATGACTAATCATCGTCTCGAATTTCACAATATTTTGCAATCGATTTCAGCGCAGCACATTTGTCTCATAAATATTATTTATTTTGTCACCTATAACTAATCTGTTAGTCTACGTAAAAAATGTATCCTCCACATAACTGGCCATTATTGTAACGACAATAAATGTTTTATAATTGTAAGAACCTGAAGAGGAGAAATTACTGAAAAGAATATTCTTCGTTCAGATTGAATTTCAATATAACTAGCTCCGCAGGAGCAAGTGAATTTATAAACACACATTGAAGTGGCCCGTCCAAAGCGGCAGTTTATCCTCCACACATCCATTGATCATTTGTCAGCTGTAGAAATTGATCCGTAGCTCAGTCGAAAAGAAGATTTTCCTCAGTGATCTGGATAAGCGATTCTTCAGAATCTCAGCTGCAGTATCACCTTTAAATTCAATGTTCATGAATAGCAGTTTATTTAATAATTAATTCACTATTATCACTCTCACATGTTCCTTCTGTACGCTTTCTCACCCTCTTCACACTCAAGTACTTTTATTCTCACTCAACAGAAATTTTAAACTTATCAAATTTCTAACGCTTTCTTCCCTTGTGCCACTGGGTATTACGTAATTTAAAACTTTTATTTTTACTTTCTAAATAGTTATATCAATTATATCACCTCTATTACTCAATAATGGACTGCTACACATTTTTGGTAAATACAAATACGACTGTAATAATATTAAAGCTTTATTTGAGACAATATGCGTATTTAGTTACAAAATACTCTTTCCTCTTACTGGATTTACATGTAAAGAAATAATCTGAAGTATATTTGTGGTGAGAGCTGTCTACTAGCCAAATTGTTAAACAGTAATTTACGTCAATATTTACGTTCCCAAGATTTGTCGTGAGAAACAACCAATCGGAAGACTGTGTTTGTTTGTTTACATAACCATAGTAATGTACATGAAAACATATATAAATATGCGTTGATTTCCTTAATAAATGATCTGTTGCCTGACTCTTGCCTTCTGTTGTTACATATCTTCATTTCTCAAGTATTGGTTTTGAAGGGATTTTGTTTGATTGGTTGATTCTGGGTTCGAACCCCAATGATGTGGGTGCGTACTGCTGAAGAGTTCCAAACTAGGAAAACAGAAACAGCTGTCCAGTACTCCCAGCTGGTTTTCCAATGGTTCTGCAACTGATGTCAGCTCAAGATGAAATCATCCAAACATATCTTCATTTTTTCAATAATTTAATAATTCCTATTTTAGCATTAAGAACACAATATTCAGCGAAGAGACTCTTTTCAACGAATTTATTATCAATCTGTACAGTCGTATATATATATGTATGGTTTTTAAGAAATTATATCCGGTGAGGGAATTAGGTCAAAGGTGTGAATATATGAAATAATAATAGTAGTATGGAATGCAATTAAAATATTTGTGATTATAACCTCGAAGGACTTTTGTTGAGATGCACGTTGAATGTTCAGTTCACCTTCAATAATGAGATCTTTAGACAGAGAGACGGCATTGCCATGGGATCACCACTGGGCCCCTTGTTGGTTGGTTGTTTTATAGCAAAGCTTGAAAATTCTCAACATAGTCAAACCATTGGTCATTTTGACATTTATAAAAGATACGTAGAAGACATTTTCGTTATATCTGCGATAATAACGTAATTCTTGATGATGTCTTGTTTGCTTTCAGTAACTGCCATCCTTCTTTACAATTCACCATGGAAAAGGAATCTGAAGTGGGTATTCTGCTTCTTGATGTGTGCCTTAGTAGATGTAATGATGGGTCTCTCAAAAGATCCATCCACCGGAAACGTACATGGAACGGACAATTAACCAATTTTTATAATTGGGTGCCTATTTGCAGGAAAAGGAACCTAATTCAATCTCTTTGCTTTAGAATAAGGAACATTTGCAGTTCCGATTGCGTTGACTCAGAACTTGACTTCTTAAAAGCCACGCTCGCAGAAAACGGTTACCCTAACCGATTTATGACAGCATCATGAAAGATAAGCAGTCTAAACTGGTCACCGACTCAGTTCAAAACAGAAAACCTTATTCATGAACTCGGAATTCAAAGGTGATCAAGCTTCAAATATGCTCAAAAGCCGTCTCTCTAAATCAGTCAGTAAGACGTTCTTTGCAGCAAAATTACATATGACGTACACTAGCTGCAAGTTGTTCTCCATCTCTGTAAAAGATAAGCTCCCCCGTCTGGCCGCCTTTATGTGCATCTATCAGTTCACCTGCTCTTCTGGAACAAGGTACATTGGCCATAGTCAGAGGACGCTTTCCACTGCACGGATACGAGAACATATTGCAGCAGCATGGTTTTACAAGGGAGAAAGGAAGTGTGTGCGAAGGTCTATTTTAGAACACTTGATCGACTTCTGTCACTCCACCAACCCTGACCATGATTTTAAGATCATCTATCGAATCCATGCTAGCTTGCTGGCTGCGTTTTCTTCGTTACAGACTTCTAAAGACAGTGGAGGCCATGGCCATACATGACTTTAAGCCAGATCTTTATGTAAAAAAAAGATTTCGTCGATCAATAAAGTTTTCTCCGCTTATGAATTGTCTTTTATTTTCTACATGACTCAATGGGTATATCATTAGGTGGCACTAAATACATGAATTATTATACAATTAAACTTCTCTACCACTAATTTGAACATATATATGCATATTATATGCTTTCATCATCCTTTCTAGTCTAATCTTATTCCAATGATTGATGCCAGACGTATATACAATCATTTTCAAGTACCACTGGATGAAGAATTAACTGAACAACTATTCGACTTAGTCACTGTACCTGCACCAACAGAAATGATGAATGAAGTCAAAGAAAGGCTGAAAAAGGACAAAGAGAACGGTGTGAATACTGAAAAGAATTATCACACTGAGAATGATATGATCAGTTGGGCTGTTGATTGGAGAAAATTAGGTGAATTATTAGATTGTAAACGTTTAAACGATTGGAGTGATGGAAAGTCTAGACAGGAATGTGGTTGTGCATATACGGAGAGTGTTAAGCCTGAGGCAAATGAAGGTAAGAATTACTTCACTTTAACTTGTTTGATATGCATTTCGTTTACTTAGCGTTGTATATAACATGGATAATGCGACAAACAGCGGGCAATGAGGAAACAGGCATAAAATGGACTCACACAAAAAACTTGGAGGATCTGGACTTCGCCGATGATATATGTCTGATTTCCCACAAACTGGAAGATATGCAAGCGAAAAGCAGCAAGTTGGCAGAAGAAGCATCAAAAGATACGACTACTTTCAGGTGAACATAGAGAAAACAGAGGTGATGAAGATTCCTGGGTAACACCAACAGCAACAACAACAACAGGCAACAATCAGCATAGATGAGAGGAACCTGAAAGAAACAACCTCCTTCACCAACCGACCTGGGAAGCATCGTTTCAAATACAGACCGGCGGAACTGACGAGGATATCAAAGCAAGAATCGGAAAAGCAAGACAAGCTTTCACTACTCTCAAGTTTGTGTGGAGGTCAACAGCACCACTCAGCCTGAAAAATAAGATCCGGATTTTCAACTCCAATGTGAAGTCAGTGCTACTCACAATACGGATCAGAGACTTGCACTGTGCGTCATAAAGAGCATCTCAAACAAACTACAGACCTTCATTAACAGCTTTCTTCTCTCAATACTCAAGATCAGATGGCCGGCCAGAAAAGATCAGTAACAGAGATCTTTGGGAGCGAATCAACCAGGAACCGATTGTGAAACAAATAGGCAGGGAGAAATGGAGATGGAATGGCTGGCCATACTCTGAGGAAACCATGAAGTGACATCACTAGACAAGCCCTCGAGTGGAACCTGAAATGGAAGCGGCGAGTTGATCGTCCAAGGGTGACTTGGAGGAGGTGATGTGAAGAGGAGATTAAAACGTGCGGTCAGACATGGAGCCAGGTGAAGACTCTAGCAGAGAACAGGACGCAATGGAGACGCACGGCTGAAGCCCTATGTTCCTCTAGGAATTAAAGGAAACAACAATAATAATAACATGGTATATGTGAAGAAATGTCGGCTGGTAATTGGTTCCAGTGTTTGGAAAATTATTTCGTTAGTTACTTAGTAATAAGTTACCACAATTACATATGTGGATAAGGAGATAATTTCTTCACATGGTAGTTTTGTGGAAACTGACACATTCTAATAAAAACTTGAGTTTCGATTCATCCTTCCCTGGAATCTGTGTGACTAGGCTTCCTGCCGATTGCCTACAACCATCTAATATCATCAAATCAATGTGCACGGTGATGGCGAGCTACCTAGCATGGTGGACACGTTGCAAACCTGACTGGTAGAATTCAGTCTGCACCAGAGAAAGGACTGGACACATCACACTAGTTACTAGTGTCCAATCAAAGTATCCACTACAGTCCCACAGGACGTCAATCGCGAGCCCGAACAGCTCAGTGGTAACGTCTCTGACTGCAGGCGGCACTGAGTGACGCGGGTTCTAGTCTCAGAAGGGCATGAGTTCGTTCAAGGTTGCAGATATGACTTGCTGATGAATACCATCTAATTTAGTTAAATGTTTACATAATCCAGACGGGAGGTTAACTAGTAGATCAGAAGATTTAAATGATCAAATCGAACAAATAATGGAAAATATTACCGGTGAATTAACAACTTACTACCAGAATTTATTCAAAAATTTGTGTTGACCCATAGGAGAAATAGGAGTAGTAATCAAAATGGTGAAAATAATATAAATAATATGGAATTAAAGGCATCTGTAGTACTGGGGTAATTTTTATTTTACTCCTTCATCTTGCCAGTGGAACATAGGGATTCAAGCTAGAGGCTTGAAGTTTCGATAGCAGTGGATGGGGTTGCTAGCCTCATGCCACTAACTTTCCCTCTTTACTAGTATTATTACTGGCTTAGCGAGGTAAAGGAGTGTGCTGGGGGCCGGGGATCGAAGCCCAGACCACATGAGGCGTGGTCGGCGAGCATTCTACCGCTGTGCCACCTACGCTGTACTGGCGTATAAAGAGGGAAAATCATAAGCCCCATGTAGGATTTATAATAAGGCTGGAATTAGGTTGAGACAAATTTTGTAGGGATTTTTTTGATTGGTTGGAGGATTTTATCATAAGCTGACAACAGTTAGAGAACCACTGGAAAACCTGGAAGTACTGGATTACAGGATGCGTACTGCTGAACAGTTCCAAACTAGGACGAAACAGCTGTCCAGTGGTTCTCTAACCGATTTCAGTTCATGATGAAATCCTCCAGCCAATCAAAGGAAATCCCCTACCAAAACCAATACTTGAAAATTGATCTGATGCTCAATAGCGACTGGCTCAATTCAGGCAGTTATCTGAGGTTCTAGTGGAAAGCCGTGACCAGTAGGTTGCAGCAGGTTGAAGGTGAGGTAGTAACTCATCGAAGGAGACATTGCCAAGTGGTCGTTCTATGTTTTGAATTGGCAGAAGATGGAATTCATGGGCTGGTCACTGGATCGGATCGAGGTGGCTTAATAGTCTACCAGGTCGCTAGCCTTGTAACCGGAAGGTCTTGGATTCGAACCGCAGTGGGGTGGGTGCGTAATGCTGAAGAGTCCAAAACTGGGATAAGAGAAGCAGCTGGCTGTTCAATGCTCCCTGGTGCTTTTCCAATGGTTCTCTAACCAATGTTAGCTCATGATGAAATCCTCCAAGAAATTTTTTCGGCTTATAGACCTGATAGATGCAAATGAGAAAAATGATAATTAATTAACCCTTTAAAACCGTGTAATGACTGTGAGTTAGGTGAATTACATAAGTCAAACTGACAGATCGATGTCAATCAGATTATCAGAACATACAAATTTAGCTAGACCTAGTAGGATGACTAATCCTGCTAAGTTAAACAATGAAAGAAAAAAACTCGGCCACTGAAATGCGTTCACTTGCATGTAATCACACAATAGGAGGACGGCATAGGATGAAAGTATTAAAAAGTCAGTATAGATGAGGCGACAAATATGCAGGAGAAAGTGGAGATGGATTAGACACTCGATGACGAGGCCACTGGGTGACATCGCGCGTCAGGCCATCGCTCGAGTGGAACCCGAAAGGGAAGCGGCGAGTAGTGGGACGTCCAAGGATGACATGGAGGAGATCGTGTGAAGAGGAGTTGAAACAGTATGGACTAACATGGATGCAGGTGAAAAGTAGAGCAGAAGACAGAAGCAAGTTGAGACGTGCAGTTGAAGCCCTATTTTCCACTAGGAACCCAAGGGAACAATACTAATAATAATAGATGAGGCGGAGAGAGAGATAGGGGGAGAAGTTAATCCCTGAATCTTTATTTATCGAATCAGTACCAAAACGCGTTCAAATAGAAATGATGTAACACTTATAACGGATGTGTGGAAATTTACGATAAATAAGGCAGAGAAAAATATATGTGTTCACAGCAAATTATGAAGCTGTGGGAATAAAGTGATGTGATTAAGAGCAATAAATCGGGTTCGAAACGTCATTCAGTTATAGATACTGTGTCGCTGTATATTATGTCAAATAAACTCATCTTATATGGAAACATATCCTACCTTAGTGCCAAAGTTCTCCTTTTACATTAAGGCCTCCTAAGATATTCATAAGGGATTAAGGTTGCAAAATGTGCCCTGCTGATTAGTATCAATAAGTGGGAAACTTGGCTAAAATGTAACTTTATAGGCCTAAATATTTCATTTGAGGAGATATGCCAGTTACAAAGCTAGGCGGAATGATATCCTTGTTATGCATACTTGTTCAACATTCGCTCCAACAGACAATGTTGTTCACTAAAGGAGATAATATCAGAGGAAGGCAAACAATATTCACATTAAGTAATCTAGTGAATGGTGATTAGCAGTGGAATCCTCGAGGATAAGCATTTAGTCCTATTTGGGACTCGTCAGCTAGTGGACGTACCTGCATTCCACAGTGAGTGGTGATTCTCTCTCTGAGGCTCGAACCCAGTACCCATGGTTTCAAATGCCTAAGTGTTATCCACTCGACTACTTGGCCCACAAGAGCCATCTCTTGTTCTTCCCGTTGATTGACTGCCCTGAAATGTTCGGCCTTTGTTGATTCATATGTCGGCTCCTGAGGATGTTTCCATGGTGTCTGAGGACTAACTGGAAGTAATTTGGTGGATAGCAGTGACTAGCAGTGAATGGAACCCTTCAGGATACGCATTCCGTCCTATTTGGAACTCGTCAGCTACTGGATGTACTTGTATTTCTCCAAGGAGCCAACATGTCAACACAGAGGTCAAACATTTCAGCCCAGTCAATCCACGGGACAATGCAAGACTGAATTAGTAATGAATAAATAATATTCACATCAGCGATGTACCATGCTCTCCCATAAAGCTATCAAAAATGTTTTTATGAGACGTTTAGGCGAGTGCAAAAATATTACGGGAATCACTGCTTCAAAACTTTCGCTTGTTTTGTCCAAAATCATTCATGTATCGCTTTTTTGATTGCAGGATTTCATCATGAGCTGACATTGTTTAGAGAACCATTGGAAAACCTGGGAGTACTGGACAGCTGTTTCATCCTAGTTTGGGACTCTTCACAATACGCACCCACCCCACTGGGGTTCGAAACCAGGACCTTCTGGTCACATGGCTAGCCAGCTCGTAGATCATTAAGCCACTGGAACCTGATCCCATAGTCACCCCATGAATTCTAACTTCTACCAATTCACGATATAGCGCAACCGCTAGCCAATGTCTTCGGTGAGTATTTGTCCTCACACCTGACCTGCTGCACCCTGCTGCCTTAATGGTCTACGAGCTCGCTTTGTAACCAGAAGGTCCTGGGTTCGAACTCCGGTGGATGCGTGCTGCTGAAGAGTCCAAAACTAAGACAAAACAGCTGTCCAATACTCCCAGCTGGTTTTTCAGTGGTTCTCTAACCAATGTCTGCTCATGATGAAATCCTGTAACCAATCAACCAAATCCCTACAAACCAATACTTGAGAGTCATTAATTTGTTCGTCTGCTCATATTTCATAATTTTGGTTACAGGATTTCATGATGAGCTGACATCGGTTAGAGAACCATTGAAAAATCCCAACGGAGTATTGGACAGCCATTTTTTTCTGTTGTCCTGTTATGGGACTCCTGACAGTAAGCAGCCACTTCCAGGGTTCGAACCCAGGACCTTCAAGATGAAATCCTGTAACCGATCCATCAAATCCCATTATCGATGAGATTCTCACTAGTGACTGGCCTTATCAACGTAGGACGTGGTCGAGCTATATCGTGAATTGATAGAAGTTGGAACTCATAGGCTGGGCATTGGATCGGGTCGCAGTAGTTTAATGGTCTATGAGCTCACCTTTTAACCAGAAAGTGGTGAGATCGAGCCATGGAGGAGGAGCCTTACTGATGAAGAGTCCCAAACTGGGGAGACATTAACCGCTGGCTGTCCAGTACTACCTGCAATCCTGTAACCAATCAATCAAATCCCTATAAACCAATATATGAATTTCATAATTTTGTTTTTATTCTCTTTTAAGATATTGAAGCAGTACGTCGTCGACTTCGTCGTGCTATTCAAGCGAATGTGCACAATTGGACAACATCGAGTTCAACATACGGTGGTAATCAATATGGATTAATAAATACAGATAATTGGGCAACATTAGGTGGAAAATATTTTCAATCTGATAAGCCAGTTCCAAAGGTAAACTTTTCCATATGTATTATTGATATATATAAGATTAAAACTTGGCCAGTGTGGTTATGGAGAAAATTTATTTTGATAAAGTCTCACACAGTAATATTTACTGATGACGACGTTTCGAGAACAATTTATCACCGCTCATAAGTATATCAAGGTACTAACACAACCTTCCTACTTCGTTTATATGGTTCCTCCATTAATTCTCATCTCTCGATATGATGATTGGTAATAGTATCTTCCGTATCTCTGGTATTTGCGTTGAGTCATTCCTATCGCACCTGTTGGGTGTAGATTCTATGAACAAATATTCAGTAATCAACCTCTCTCTCTCTCTCCATCTATCTGTATAACTTTTTAGAATTGTAACTCTGTCGCACCCTATAGTATGGTTGTGTGCTAATGCAAGCACTACAATTGCTGAGCTTTTTTCAACATGTGAAGAAGAGATGAAAGATTATGGGCAATCATGGACTAAGTTGAAGAGGACAGCGGAGATAGAAGAAAGTGGAGATGTGTTGTTGAAACTGTATATTCCACTCGGAACCCAAGGGAATAACAAATAATAAAAATAAATATTAGGCTGTCAGACATGAAGCCTTGAATTTTCAGTAGCAAAGATGCTATTTTTCCTCCAATGTGGGGTTGCTAGCTACACCGACCAACTTTTCTTCTTATCCTGGCTTACTGCTGACATTTAGGAGTACGTCAACTGGCAATCAAACCTAAATCGCGTGCATAGTTGGCAAGTATTCTAACGCTGAACGACTTGCACACAGGTTTTAAGTATATTTGTCGAAATTGTTTGATAATATAGATATTACGTTCAGTAAGCCAAATGAGACGGCAGATTTGTACAACTTTGCGAATTACTATTTTCTTTTCTTGTTTTTATATTTAATGCATGCAGAGGCCAATCGACAGTAAACCGTTTTTACGCCATTTTTAGTATTTTTTTCGTTGCAATTTTGAGTAAAATGCATCGGGTATCTTGTAAAGTGAAAATCAGACTATTTATGATTGCCATAATTTTTCTTTTCGTTGGAAGGAGGTTGGTTGGGGAAAATTACACGGAATCACACACAGTGTATGTATCCGAAGGAACAGTTCTGTTCATAACCTCACTTACTTGTCTAGTTGAGATCATCAAGAAACCAAGTAATCGTCAATTTATGTCTTTCAAATTTATAATAAACAAACATGAATTCTCTGGATTTCCTAATTCGTGTACATTCTACGGGGGAAAATGCAAGAACAATATATGTAGATCTCATCTCAAGTCTACAATAGCTGACATCAGTCCTTTTGTGACAAAAAATAGCTGAATCTGGCAGTAAATGACATAACTTCAAATTTCGGAAGGGATATAGGTACCGTTCATGTAACAGATAAGCTTATTGCTATTATTATTCCCTTGAGTTCCGAGTAGAACATAGGGCTTCAACAACACATCTCCACTTTTTCGTATCTTCTGCCATCCTCTTCAGCTTGGAACATGGTTGCCCACAATCTGTCATCTCCTCCCCCGACAATCTTCGCCGCGTCATCCTAGGACGACTCACTCGTCGCTCCTCTTTGGGAATATACTCGAACGTTGGCCTGCATTAAGCGCGATGTCATTCAACGGTCTCCTCAGTGTATGTCCGATCCACCCTCACTTTCTCCGACATATTTGGGGAGCGATCGGCTGTTTGTTTGTTCTAACAGTCTCTTGTTGCTTATTCTTTCAGGCCATTTGATCTTGAGTATGGAGCCAGCTAGTTGGGCAGATGTTGATGAAAGTCTGCAGCCTTTTGGAAATCCTTTTCGTCACATGCTGATCAAGTTTCTGGCCCTTATAGAAGGACCGACTTCACATTTGTGTTGAAGGGAATCCGAATCTTGTTCCTTATGCTGAGTCTAGAAGATTTCCGAACTGGTATCAGGTTGATGATGGCGTATCTTGCCTTTCCGATTCTAGCTTTGACATCTTTATCCGTTCTGCCTGTAGTTGAAACTATACTTCCTGGCTGGATAATTGAAAGAGGTAACCTCTGTGAAATCTCTTGCCCGTTTATGGCGATTAGTTCTGGTTTTTGTTGTTGTTGTTGCTGTTAGTTGGTTATGTTTATCACCCTCATCTTCTCTATGTTCACCTGCAATCCTGTATTCACCGGTTGCTTCTTCAGCCAGTTTGCTGGTTTTCGCCTGTAATTCTTCGAGTTTGTGTGATATTAGACATATATCATCTGCGAAATCTAGATCCTTTAGAGTTTTCTTATCGGTCGTTCAGCGTATTCTTATCTCCTCGCTCCCCACAGTCATCCGTATAATCCCGTCCACCACAATTAAGAATATCATCGGTGATAATAGGCAACCTTGTCATATTCCTATATGCACTTCAAACGCTTCGCTGATTTTCCCGTTGTGGACCACCTGACACATGGCATTTTCACATAGACAGCTGTTGAATGAGGTTGGTAAAGACTTGGACACTGCGCACCATAGTGTTGAAGTAGTTTCCAAATTACATCTCGGTCTACGCTGTTTGTTGAAGGTCTTTTTGAAGTCGATGAAGTTGAGGTAGATAAGCTTCACTGATTAGTATCACCAATAGTACAAAAACGATATGAAACAGGAGTTTCGATTAATTCACTGCCGACAGTTAATCTAATCAAACTGCAATTGGTTGCGATACAAAGTAGTGCTGTGCTATCCGATTTGCTGACCATAATGCACAGCTCATGGACAGATTCCAATCAAAATATAAGCCTATAGTCAGTCACATTGCATACCATCTGCAGACCGTTTGGTGAACAGGTGATTCACTAAAGATCACACATTGAGTTGAGTAATTGGATGGGTGTGATTCTCTGTTAGACTATCCATGACTGCCTAGAAGACACCCATCCTTTGACCGGTGCTAATGAATCCCTTTCCCACTGACCGGTGGTGCAGGTCTTCATAATATTACGAACATCTTGATTCCTGGATTTTTAATACCTCCACTTATTTAACACTTAGTTTTATTTTTATTTTTAACATATATTTTTATTTGAATTAGGTCCGTAAAAGTGCAGATCTTACAAATTATTGTGATGAAGCTGGTGTTGGATCGTTGATTAGCCCTAGTGTATTTACCGAGTATGGATTGTCTAGTCGAGATTTATTAATGTTACGTAATAAAGAAGAGGTGAGTCTCCTTTATTTGCCGTTTTGTGTATAGAATTAATGTTATTATCTTATTATTAACATTCAAGTGTTGATTTTTAAGGGATTTGATTGGTTCTAGGATTTCTTCATAAAATTGACATGGGTTAGAGGACTGTTGAGAAAGCAGCTGGAAGTCCTAGACAGCTGTTTCGTCCTAGTTTGAGACCGAGGTTCTAAGCTAGGACCTTCTGGTTACAAGGCTAGCGATCTTGTAGATCATTAAGCCACTGTGACCCGATCCAATGGCCAGTGCATGAATTCCAACTTCTGTCAACTCACGATATGACGTGACCACTAGCAAATTCCGTCGCTGGCAAGTATTTGTCCTCACACCCGACCTACTCTACCCTACCGGTCATTCTCAATTGAGTTTGGAGTAGAATACAGAGTTTCATAACTGCATGTTCCTTGTACTGGGTTCTCCACTGCCATCTTCACCAAGCTTCACAAGTACTCACAAATTTTCAATCTCTGTTTAGATGATCTCATCCGTGGCCACTCTGAGAAACATGCCTAACTCGTCGCTTCCGATTCAGATTCCTGTGAAGTGGCTTGGAATGCATGCGTACAATCCATTTACTTTTCCTTGTATATATATTTTGGGCAGCAGGTTATTAGCTAGTTCGATGCCTGTAATAGGTCCTTGTTGCTTGCTCATCCTAGCTGGCCAGTCTAATCTTCAGCACTGAGCAGAGAGAGGGGGGTAGGTTTTGTGAACGTCTTCAGTAACCCGTTGGAAATGCTTTTAGTATGCAGCGCGTCACGTCTCTGAACTGTATAGAAGCCCAGACTGATTTGATCACTAGTATAGAAAATTCGAAACTTTATCCTTGTGCTGATTACTGTGGATGTTCATGCCGATTTCAGAGTAACGAATGCGTTTGTTTAACTTTCCCAATTATGGCTATGACATCGTCATCTATGCCGCTTGTCACTGAAACCAATCGATTCAGCTTAATAAGTACGAAAAATAGAGAAGTTTAGGCGTGGTACTAGCAACCTTACTCTGTAAAAAATAATCTAACTGCCATTGAATCTTCAAGGCATAGATGAAATAAGCTTATCCTTCACTGGAGTCGGGGAAGACGGATGGCCCTAGTTGGCGAAAGTCTTCAGGGAGCCAGTCAAAAAATGTGTTCTCTTTTGACGAACTCAAAAGTAGACTTAATTACATGGAATATCGACAAGATGTTTGAAGCTGCCAAGACAATTCATACTGCAGAATAAATGAGAAAGTATAGTGTAAAAGTGTTAGAAGTCTGTGAAAGATTGTTGTTTACGAGTGATTCATCTTTACCCAGTATAAAAAGCATTCATGTAGTTACTGGGCTGCAATTCATGTCATCTTAGATATTGAAAGTGATGGTAACAGTATCTGGTTTACTAATCCTTTTTATATCAAGTCATAATGATTCAAGTCAAACTACAAGGTCTCTGTTCTACCGACTTTTATGCTGTATTGATTCGATTACAAAACTCAGCGAGTATTTAGTCCTAAAATTTCATCTAAATCATAAGGTGCTTTCATGAGCTGTCGTATCTTCTTTCTTCTTTATTCCTTTGTGTTTCCAGCTTCAGTTTTTAGTTTTCAGTAGTGTTGATGGGATTGTTCACCTCAATTCCAACATAACCTGTTTACGGCTTACTACCAACTAAGCGGACTTTTGGTCTGTATCTTCTGAGGATGGAACACCGGACCACTTGCATAGTTGGAGGGCCTTCTACCAGTGAACTACTGACGCACTAATGTATGAGTTAGAGTTATGGAACCCTTCTTCAGTTCTCATTATTGTTGCACTTATTACCTCAGTCAGGGGAGGGGTATTTAACTATTCGGGCTGATGCATATTTTAACTAATTGTGCTTACAGACCTAAAATTTTTAGGCTAATATGCTTACAGCAGTGTGTTAGATCGGTATCTGAGCATCAGTAATCATTAGTTTTATTATTCCTTTGGGTTCCAAGTGGAATATAGGGCTTCAACAGAACATTTCCATTTCACTCGGTTCTCTGCAGTCCCCTTTACCTGGCTTTATGATCGTTCATAGGCTCTTATCTCTTGCTCTACGATCTTATTCATGTCACTGATGGATGCCTGACTCATCCTTTGACAATCGAGTTCCACTGGAGTGATGGCCTGGTGCTCGATATCATTCTATGGTCTCCTCAGTACGCGTCCGATCCACCTTCATCTTCTTCTGAATATTTTTGTAGCAACAGGTTCGTCCCCAGAGATCGTTCTTGCGACCTTTTTCTGGCCTGACATTTAATCTTCATTATGGAGCCAGTGAAGGCAGATGCTGATAAAAGTCTACAGTAACCTGTTGGAAGTTCTTTTCGTGACACATGTGCAAAGTTTCTGTCCACATAGAGGAGGTGACTGTCATAACATTTGTGTTCACAGTCCGAATCTTTATTTCATGTTGAGTGCAGAATATTTACAAACTAACTTCAAAATGATGAAGGCATGAATTGCCTTTATAATTCTGGCTGGCCTTGACATCTTCATCCGTTCTACCCGTAGGTGGAACTATTCTACCTAGACAAGTGAGGGAAGTGACCTCTTACAGATTTCTCCCGCCAATAGTGATTGGTGCTTGTCTTCATCACCTCCGGTTTTTCTATGCTTATTTGAAGCACTATCTTTACTTCCTTCTTCTTCTGACAGTTTGTTGGTTCTCGCCTGTAAGTTCTCAGGTTTGCGTGGCATTAGACGTGAATCACCCGCGCAGTCTACATCTTATAGAGTCTTCTCATCTGTCCAACGTATTTCTATCTTCTCGCTCCACCACAATTAGGAGCATCGTAATCAGTGATAGTAGGCAGTAGCCTTGTCTTACCGATGTCTTCACTTGAAAAGCTTTGCTGAGTTCTCTCTTGTGAATTGCTTGATATGTGCCATTGTCATGTAGCATTGCATCAATATACACTAGTTATATAAAACTGTGTGAAACATTGGCGAAATATCAGAAGTAGTAGTCGACAATGAAACAGTTAGCAAGAATAATAATTTTCTAAAATTTAAATTAAGTTATCGAGTAATTTTGTCTCTAGAACAACACTGACTACCAATTTTATCACTTTGGATATTGATCTTATTTTATTGATTAATAATCTTATATAAAAGGTAGCTATCAGTGATTATAAGTAAGTGCTGACCTTAAATATATTGTCAAAAAAACTATCTCTGATCAATAAGGTCGATTAGTGGAAAATAAGGTAGCAAAAGAAATATCCAGAGAGTGTGAAAATCTTCACAGTATAATTTTGAAAATAATAATAATAATGCCATCTTTATTCTGGACAGTATTTATAAAATTTACAGAATTTTCAGAGGAGTTTATTGTATGATATTTTCTCTCCGTACAATACCTTCAAGTAAAATCTTAAAATTGACAGTATATCCTGTGACATATTGGCCTCTGAGCTGATGAAGCACAAACCATTCCATTATGTGATATATCTACTTTATCTCCTTCAAGAAATCCATCCACGACTTCTGGTTGAAAGCTAATTTTAAGATGTTCAGAAGTACATTTCGAGACTCAAGAAGAAAACTGAAGAACAGTTATCTTACGTACTGGAACACTTTGCCACCCACAATCAGGCCATTTATCAAGTTTAGTAGGAACTTGCTAAACAGAAGCTTGTAAAGATTTTAAATACACACAAGAGTACATAATAGTACCATTGGCGGTCATTGGAGGTCATATCTTAATCAATTAAAACAAACCGAACGAGAGAAAATAAATGCAAAGTTTTTGGTAGCCCAAATTTTAAGCAGGCGTGTGCTACTGACAAGATTAATCAGTAGTATGTAAAGAGCACAAAAATATCAAATAGTGTCGAGATAGATTTGTCATCAAAGAGGGGAAATGAACTGGTATCGTGGCAAAACGTGGACGATATGAAGAGAAGACAAAGAAATACAATATGAAGGGCAGAGGTAGCGCACAACACGGAAGATCTGTGCAAATGACGACTTTAATACAATGGTATACATAATTTCCCTGTATGTGTATATCAAATTCATAATAAACATTATGTTAACAAGTCTCTTGTCTTCTACTGTTACAATACAAATAGACATAAATCTTACTGAGGAAAATTAATTAGCTTACAGTAGATCAGTGGTGATTTGAATGACCCTACGAATGGGGCTGTCAAAAGCAGCCAGGATTGGAGAGGCAAGACAGATCTTTATTACTGTGAAATCAGTGAGAAAATTTAACGCATAATCATCATAAGGAACAAGATTTGGATTTTCACCGCTAATGTCAAGTCAATCAGTGCTTCTATTTGGTCCAGAGACTTGGCTTGAGCCTCACTTTCATCGACCTATATTTTCAGATGATCGGTCATGAAGTATAAGCATCAAGGAACTCTGACAGGTAGTGAATCAATCAAGAACCTATTACCAGACGAATGTGCAGGAAGAAATAAACTAAGAAGGATTGGACACACAGAAGAGATCGTTGACTGACATTATGTACCACTCTCATTCGTGGAACCTGGATAGTAAATGACGAGTTGAAAGTTGATCCGAGGGGGACATGAAGCAGATCGTGTGATGATGAAATAAAGGTTTACGGGCAATCAATCATGGAGCCAGCTAGCGAGGACTGAAGAGAACAGGATAAAATGGAGATGTGCTGTTGAAGCCCTACATTCCACTGGGAACAATGCGTCAAAGGCTTAAAGACTGAACGAGAATTTTTGGTTTGATAATGAATATGATATTTTGTCAAGATTGCTGAAATATCTTGCCAATGAATGAGATGTTGAACGGAAAGTGCTTATTCAGAGTCGTTTTTTCTCATTTTCAGATAAATCAGAGTAACATATCCCTGCCCTTGATAGACTGATAGTTTTTTCATTATCAGTTATCATCTGCAGTGGTGACAACCAGTGTTGTCCGTCAGAGATGCCTCCTATCCACATTTCTATTCAGTTTCATCATAGATGTACTAATGGACTTA